TCCGATTCCCCAATCACTGGCGTCAGTGTCAAGAAACAACTCGCTGCTGTCGAGGGGGTAGCCTAGCACAGGCGCAGATGTCAGCCGGCTTTTCAGTGCCTCAAATGCCTCCTGGCATTCAGACGTCCAGTCGAAGCGTGCATACTTTTTGGTGAGTTCATTGAGTGGCTTGGCAAGTGTGGCGAAATCCCCCTGGTTCATCACACAGTATCACACTTGTATCTTCACGTACCGTCGCTGCCCTGGCTCTCTGCTCTGCCGAACTCCGTTGACCTGGCTCCATCAGCTGGGTGACCGCTCTGGCAGCCCTTCTGGTCGTTTCGTACCTGTGTGCTACTTCGTATGCTCTGGCCAGGGTGCGAGGCTGCTCCTCCAGCAGTCTTTGAACCACCTCAGCATCAGCCAAGGCGTTGGTGAAGATCTCCACGTTGATGGCGTCCTGTTCCCGCTCTGTAGGATCTGCATACACGATGGAAACTTTCTCGTAGATATCATCTCTCAGACTGTGCAGGGCTTCACTTGGCCCTCTCACTCTCTGTCTCAGTTCAATGCCTATGGCTGCTGCATACTCCAAACTTGGCCCGTAGGCAGCGTCCACTTCATCCACAATCCGCTGGTAACTCCATCGAGTAGATCTGGGGTTTTTATGGACAATAGCACCAGCAGCACCGGTCAGGCTGAATCTGAGCTGCACGGCCATGGTCTTCTCCGACCAGTTGTTGGCCTGGGCACAGCAGGTAAAGAAAGTCTTTCCATGAGCCCGATCCATCAAAACGACCTGGCTGTAGAGTGGGGATTCTCTCTCTCTGCTCATACTTTTCATCATCACTACTGTCCATACAATTGCCGCTACGCACCATGCTGGAAGAGGCACGTTGTGGTGCGGACTCAGCCCTTTTCCAGCTAGGCTTTCCATATCCACCGGAGTCAGGCTCTCTACCCCAGGGGAGTGATGCATCACAGTGAGGGGCAGAGTAATAATCGTGAGCCCATTCTGCATAACTGCATCTCACAGACTGGGACATACATGGCGTGAAGGGGGAGACAGCAGGCTGGGGAGCTGGTGTATGGGCCAGAGTGGATGGGGCGTTTAATGTGGCATACACATTGTTTGCAGGGAAAAAGGGGTTAGCTGGCCGGCCGTCAAAAGTCTGATTAGAGTCATTGTTCGCGCCATAACGTAAGGCTACAGCTGGAGTAGAAACCATATTTCTGGGGCCATCATAGCAATATTGAGGGGGAAACATAGACTCACTGCCTGCTGCGCCCTCCTGCTTTGGCGGCGTCCGGAAAGGATTAGTCAGTGCTGAAGGCAGTGAGGTCGGTGGCCATGCCCCGCTGAACAGCGCTGTCCTTGGCTGGGCCGCCGCTCCACCTGTGGCTCGCTATGTTGCTCTGGTGGTTAGCTCCATGCTAACCAGAAATGGGTTGCGGCTCTCCCCGCCGCCAACACATCTGCCACCCGCTGAAGTCCATATCAGCTCGAACAGTCTCTCTTATGTCCGCTAAAAATGGATTGGTGCTAATGTTTGGGATAATTAGCTTCCTGTGTCTCTCAACAGCAACATTAGTGTGTGCCGCCATTCTTTCCCGCGTTCGCGGCTCTCTCTTTATTTGTCTTCTTTCTTCTTACCTTTTCTCCTCTTTCTTGGGCAAACTTTCTATCCTGGATGAGCCCCCAGTGTTACCTTCTCAACCCTCTCTCTCTCCAAACCGTAGTTGGGAGATGGTTTAATGTTTTGGCTCGTTGCTGGTAACCAGCGTCTTAGAGTCTGGGCGAAAGTGTGGGAAAGAAGGAGGATGAAGTGGAGACTTTCATGCAAAACCGCACATTTAATTCCGTTCTTTAGCAAAGACAGATCACAACACCGGGCCTGGTCAGATTATGTCTGGACACTGCTGTGTACTAAACACTTAGGCATTAACATGAGCTAGCTCTTTTACGTACGTCTGTCACCGTGGATGTCTACCTCTTCTCTCCCTGTTTACCCTCCTGCACCTGTACGTCACACCCACACACACCGGGCCACTGTCTTAAAGGGGCAAGGCTGGCCGGTGACAACCGGCTAACACCAAAAACAGCTTTCTGAAACTGCTCCAATAAAAATAATCTACAACTTTATACATTGTAAGGTTATAATTATATTTTATAACTTAATAATTATACATTATAATCTTCACGAAGGGTTGATTTATTGCAGGGCAGTTGTGTTAGACTGCATTAGTCTTAGCTACGTATACCTAATAAGCTGAGAAACGTTTGACTGTAGCTGCATGCATTTCCCCCCTTTTTCAGCAAGTCTCAGCAAGTTTTTCCTTCCTGGGATTGTAAGTGCTGTTTTTCTAAAAGAGTGAACAGGCTCATTCCAGATTAGCCTGAACCATCCTGTGTAATAGTATCATACAAGCAAACACTTTCTGCTGCATCCCTATGAATTGGCATCCGCATTTAATTGGTCCTCCGTTTCCCTGCTGAGAAAACAGGAAAAACTGTGGGAGGGTTTATGCCACTTTAATGACAACAATCAAACCTCAGAGAAAGCAAAGCTCGCTTTTAGGAGAGAGATCTGAGTCACACCAGTTGAGGAAAACACACCCAGTGAAAAAACACCAGCTTTTGGTCTGCTTCTGGTTTTACCCCAGACAGCCCTGACCTCCTGAGGCCACAGCCATAACACACTCAACCTCACACGTCCTGTTTTTGACAGCTCCCTTAGGTTTTACTTCCTGTTTACTTCCTGTAAGGATACGGTGGGTGTAAACTAAAATCTTCTTAAAACATTGTTGACATCTTTAAGACGATCACTGATAACAGTGTCTTCATAAGATATATTGATATGTGGCTACCAACTGATCACCCACTGAAACCTGAAATGTGTTTTTTCAGATCGGTAAGGAGCATCTGGGTCTGAAGGCAATCACTGAAGTTCTACAGGACCTGCAATACAAGGTGAGGATAACACTGAAACGATCAGACAGATTAGATGGTAATTTATGACATCAGATAAAGATGAATGTCAGATGAACGATCACATTGTTAAACTGGATACATGATAACATTAATTATTGCCATGTCTCTGTATTTCCTTTAGGGGAAGAACAAGATAATCCCCTGCTTCAACCCCAACACTCTGTTACCTGGTGAGCAGAAATTGATTATCATACCACCATGGCTCTCTTAAGATGGCAGCCTGCTGGGTCGCTATCATCCTCTCATCAATCCATTCATTCTTAAAACCAAACACTAGCTCGATACTAGCTAGATAGGGCCTTTCATGTTTTTCACAAGTTTTTTAGCCACCGTAGTTTCTCCTGTGTGCCTGGTTGAGACAAGGGGTTTCAGTCGGTTGTGCAATCTTACCGCTATATGCAACTAAATCCCACACACTGGTCCTTTAATGCCAGCTTATTGTTCACAATCACTAGTAGTAGTATCAAGTAATGTTGATGATGAATCCTTATCCTGTCAAATCCCTAATTGAATCATGTGGTTAGCTGATTGGAAGGGGATTTAATCTCTTTCTTACAAAATATGTATGTGTATGTTTTTATTTCAGTGAGCATCAGACCTACACCACAGAGATTACTGCGCTGAAAGGGTGTAGGGCTGTCTCCACATATTTTAGCACTGCTCTGTAATTTGCAGGTTTTTCATCACTTTACATAATTTCAAAGCAAAATTACTGTTGCACTGTTGCATAGGCAGAATCTGACAGGTGAAAGAACAAAGTTTAACAGGCGTTAGGCTGAGGCAGAACACTCAAGTTATCAAAAAGATGGCCCAGTGGCCAGGTTAGGTTAGGCAGCACAGACTGGAATATTATAGGAATACTATAGGCAGCAGTGTATCACTTTAATCCCCTTGTTCTTCCGAGACTACACATTGCTGCTTGTCACTTTGATCATGAATGTGTCACTACTCTATAGTGTATAGGTTATAGAATTGAGTGTTTATTATTAACAATTTATAGTTGAGAAAATATTATTATTATAGATCCAAGATTTAACTGACAGAAGGGCGGGACTAAGAGAGAAGGGCGCAATCACATATTCGTCTGCTACTTCAGCACCATGGACAGCACTGGATTATCAGTACACCGCATAGGTAGGATACTGATATTTCAGAGCCATGGTCGGGGCCATATATTCTAATTTGACCAAACCTCAGTCAGATAAATGATTATTGAGTCAGGCAGAATCGACTAACATATTCAAATAAAAAACCCCTCTGCCCCTGCGCTCTAGGAAGGGGACAGCAACTTTTACTATCAAAATAGCCATTTTCAGAACAGTGGATTGTTTATCCCAATGTACAGTCAGGTAATAAAAGATGCTTTCACTGACATGTTTTAAGCGTTTTACGTTAAATGTTTAATCTGCCCTCAGATCCTTTACTGAGGGACTACTGGGTGTATGAAGGATCTCTGACCACACCACCTTGTAGTGAAAATGTGACCTGGATCCTCTACCGCTACCCTCTAACCATCTCACAGTTACAGGTAATAGCCTGCTCCTAATCTGTGCTCGCGACTAGATGTATATACATTAGCCAGCTATTAGCATGACTCTTGTTCTGCTGCATCATTTTTTACCTTTGCTAACTCTCCATTGTGAGTCCAGCTTGCTTTTAAATATTATAGGCCTTACTTGTGACTGCATCCATTCTTCCATTCCTCCCTGATCAATGTATTTATATTAACAATGGATGTAATTATGTGAACAGGGTTGCTAATAGTGACAAACCAACATAGAATTATCACAGAACTCGTTTTTTTGACAAACTCCATTAGAAATATTGCCCTGCAGAGCCGGAGAACCCTTGAAGTAGACACAGCAGTTTTAGACATATGCCTGAGTTTACACCAATAGTGACATTACACCACAGCCATGTATACACATGGTTAGGGTTAACTCTCTCTCTCATCGGTACAGATTAAACCTAACAATGCGTCAGCTAATTTAGGTTTTAATATTAATGTTCTGGTAACCCTAAACCTAGGATAATTTAATAACATTAAGCTAATATCATCTAGCTACCTTCAGTGAAAAATGTCAGAGCTCTGTTCTCTTTTTTTCTACATCCCATCCAAGATACAATCACTGCCAGGCCCTTTTGTGACTTTCATACCACACAGCACCACTAACCTGAGGCACTCTGGCATTCACCACAGTACAGGAAGCCTTTACACCCACAGCAAATCAATGAGCCTGTCACATTGCCTTTAATAGATCTAAACTTTAATTCAGCCCTTGCCTGACTTATGGCTCTCTTCAAGCAAAGGATGATGATGGTAATCCTCTGACATTTATTTTAGTCTTTCGTCCTTGCTGCCCTCTGGCCTGCTGACCCTTTGAAATGTTAACAGAGAGAAGGACTTGTGGTTGTCCTCCTCCTAAGGCTATGTCCATACTGATGTGGATGACTTCATAATGTACATGAATCAACATCACTGTAATTGTGATCAAATCAGCAGATCAGACTACAAAAACTACCTTCCTGTTTTTAGAACACCAGCATGCACATGTCTTTGTCTCACATGTCTCCCTTTGCAACCCTCCCTCCAAATCCTCTGTGCCGCTCTGAGGAGGTGGCCTCACAGTTTGAAAACTCTTGTATTAGAAGAGATATCCTTACCACAGAGTTGTGCTCCTCGAGGTTATTTAAAGGTATTCTGGGAAACATATAAAACAAGCAGAAAAGTGGAAAAGTGGGTCACAAAAACTGTACTGAACAGACCATATTATGCACTGTATATATTACCTTATTTTTGAGTACTATAGTAATGTATTTTCGGTATCATGTGTCAACCATAGTAACACTGCATGTACAACAGGAGAAGTGTTTTAAAACAGCAGGTCCTGCTTACCTAGAATACACACCTCTGGCTATTATTGACTGCTAAAAGACCAAGCGTGTGTGTGCACAGTGCATATGTGCATACAAGTGTGTGTGTGTGTGTGTGTGTGTGTGTCATTCAACAGTTGCTATGCCTACATGTTTTGCACTTTGACAGTGGGCCATAAATCCTCCTTCTGTAAGCCAATAGCATGACAGCTCAGAAACTGTTTGTTTTGGGCGGTGTAACCAGCATGATACATAATATATGTGTGTAAATTGTACATGTACACATGAACAGGAAGTCAGATTTTGGATCATTTCTGTAGTGATTCTGATCTTAACATTTTGGTGTGAGCAAGAAAACAACAAGACGTTGATGTTTAGACGACCAGATCCGTCACAACCTCATACTTAGTGCTGGGTAAATACAGGATGTTTGTTCACCCATCTGCCTGGTAAATGTTTGTTAAGAACTGAAATCAGCAGAAATTAATAACTAAACATACTCTTACAATACTGTTGTATTCAGTGTCAGCTGTCTTCACATTTCATTCCCATACTATCATTATATTATTACAGGGTCTTTGGCTATCATTAGGGACCCCACATGGGTCCAAATCTCCTAATCTTTTCCCATGCCAGGTTCATTTTGCTCAGCACTGAACGCTTTAACCCCTGAGTGTAGAGCAAATATTGGAAGTCATATGCAGTACTTGAATTATGTGTATTTTTAGAAAACCAAAGGATGAAAGCAGTGTCTTTAAGAAACCATAATGTCTTCTTATGTTGGGACCAAACTGTCAGCCACCTCAGTCCAGGTATATCAGTTTGACTATATTGGTCAAACCTATGTTGTGTAGTCTGAAATATTTTATCGTCTGTCTGTGCAGATCGAGGAGTTTCGGAGGCTGCGGTCCCATTTCAAAGGGGCGGAGTTGCTAGAAGGTAACGATGGGTTGTTGGGGGACAACTTCCGTCCTACCCAGCCGCTCAGTGACCGGACGGTTCGTGCCGCCTTCCAGTGACTCGCACTTTCCACTGACGACACAGGAAAACTGTGAGACCTACACATACAAGTATAGAAGGTAACACCTGCTCTGCTCTTAACATACAGAGCAATAATGTGAACATAAATGTGAACCAAAGTATGTGATAATTGATCTAAAGTAGTGGTAATAGATTAAACAGCTGCCTACATCCAGCAGACACAGCAACATAAACATTTATTTGGTGTCATTTTGTTTCCAATATACACTGTTCTGTTTGCTGTTTAGTGCTGGGCAGATAGTGGGTTTATCAGAGTTTATGAGTTTTTGAGAGTTGATATGATTGGTTGAAGTTCGAGTCTGCCCTTTTCCAAACTACGACTTCCCATATAGTGCTGTGTAAGAAACCAACTACCACAGTCAGGTTACATTAATACTGACAGCCTTCACTTTACATGCAGTCATTTAATCCATTGATAATATAAAAACACAGATTATCAGAGCTTTAATTTGGCATCTAAATGAAATATAGTACATTAAAAGCATAAATGACTGAAAACTGATCAGCAGTTGCTGAACAAACACTGTTCTCTGTATTTCAGTTCATTCAGCACATTTCCTCACAAGGGACAGACTTTTAATGGAAGTAGGCATGCTGTCCCTGAGGTATTTGTGTCCCCTGAAACCACAGTGTAATGGATCGAGCCCTGGAAGAACTAACCCAGTTACCAATCTGGGACTAGCCTATATACAGTATGTAGTATATGGAGGGGTCCCAGATTTAGCTCAGCAGCACTGCGGCAGGAGGACAGCGCAGAACTTTTGGAGCTCAGATGGGATGAGCAGGGTAAAAAAAAGACAGATGAGACTTTTATACTGAATGTCCTGGCTAACTAATGAGGGCACAGAGTTGCAGAATTTTTGGGAATATTACATCTTTTATCTTTAATTCTACATGTCAGCATGTATGAAAACAGATGAGCAAGGGCCTGCAAAGGAATCTTGGTGTCACATTATGTTCCTGATAGCTTATTCTTCTCACAGCTTTCACATCACTATCAGTTAGCCTTGGTCCATAGCATAATGTCTCCATGGACTGGAGGAACACCGCCTCTGCCATGCAGTAAATGATCTCATTTGACCCTGGTGTACAGTAGCATCGCACTATACATCACATCTGTATCACTATAGGGATGTTTAAGGTGTGGTGTGTAGCAGTTCACTTGAAATGCTGGATTCTGCGTTTCCCATAATGCAACTAGGCCTTCCCTTACTGGTAAAAGCCCATGTGTTTTAAGCTCCGTGACCCAGTTTGTAACATAGACTTCTTGTTAAAGAACCGTCATCTCTAAAGCTGGGCATACAATGTACAATTTGAGTCCGTTGCTGACTAGATTTTTGAGCTGCATGACTCATTTTAGAATTTCACCTTCATCAGGCGTTGTGTGCCGTGCAGTGGACAGGGTTGAGCGAGGGCCATTCATCAAATATAATTATTTGATGACCAGTCAGGCTTTCACACAGTTGAAGCAGAGCCGCAAGTCGATTCTGGCATTCCTGCTTGTTTGTCAATAGCCAGAATGGTCCACAGTGTGGGTACATAAATTGTGAGCTTCTCTTTTTACTCATACAGCAGGAGTTGGAATTAAACAACATTTATAAATTTGCACAGTATATGCTTAAGCGAAGATAGATAGATTTTTGCCTCAAAACTTTCTCTAGAACCAAAGAGGGCATTAAACAGCAGTTAACAGTAGTGAGTAGTGTTGCTCATGAAATGTAAATTGAACCCTATTGGTAAAATCTGTGAAGTGCTCCTTTAAACAAATGACCTGTTTGCTGAGAGGACTGGTAACCTCATTGCAAACTTCACAGAGGACAAATCCTGTAAGTGGGTGTTTTCATGCAGTCATTGTATTTTATGAGTCATGATCACATAATGACTAATGCAGCTGTTCAGTTCGCTGGTTTTGTTTTCAATGAAGTATTCCCTTTCCTCTGAATAAAGCTGTGTTTTTCAATTCCAACACAGACTGTGAACTCCCAAATAGTGTAGTCCCTGATGGTCGAGCTGAACAGTGCAGTTATTGTACAGAGCAACACTTATCAGAGTTCTATGAAGAGCTGGTTGATATAGTTTATATAAGCCTGATACCAGTGAAGATCTGAACTGACTTGACTGCAGACAGACAGATGGAGAAATGGAGTGAGGGAAGGTGTGTTGAGAGGAGGGAGATAGAGGGGTACTGTGGTGAAGAGAGGTGAGAATGCCAGAGGGATGAAAGAGGAGGAGACAGAGGGAGGGCAGGGGAAAAGGAGAGAAAAAACAGAGGACTATTGTTTATAGTGTAAACGGATACTGATCTGGTCCCACCAGCACAAACCCACCTGATACAAGACCTGCGAACGAGAGAAAAGGGGTAGAAAGGAGAGGGGACTGGAGCTCAGACAGAAGTGTTTTTTTTTCTTCACATGCCTGATAAAATATATAGAAACGAAACCAGGGCTAGCTGCTACCTGCACAAATTAACGTATGACCATACTGTTAGAATTCATCTTGAAGAAAACTTAAATCTCATGGCAGTCCTTCTCATTAGTTGCTGGTTATTTGACTTAAAACCTCAACCTCATGGTGGTGCTAGAGGAAAATCAGGGGCTCACCAACGTGAGTAGGATTCTTCCTCTGACGACAATGAACATCTCTACCAGGTTTCACATCAATACATCCCATATTTGTCAAGCTATTTCACTGATAGCTAAAAGCTAACTTTTTCCCCAGTGTCCCACAGCGGTGCCGAATTCTACTTTCAGCTGTCCCAG